GCAGGGAGCCCGGTGTGGGACTCGATCCCAGGACCCTGGGATCATGACCTGAGCCGAAGGCAGACGCTTAACGACTGAGCCACCCAGGCGCCCCTGACAGTTCATTATTAATGTATAGGAATGTAACTGATTTTTTTTTATTAAAGTTTTATTTATTTATTTGACAGAGAGACACAAAGCGAGAGAGGGAACATAAGCAGGGGGAGTGGGAGAGGGAGAAGCAGGCTTCCCGCCGAGCAGGGAGCCCAATGTGGGACTCAATCCCAGAACCCTGGCATCATGACCTGAGCCGAAGGCAGAAGCTTAATGACTAAGCCATCCAGGCACCTCTGTAACTGATTTTTGTGTATGGATTTTATATCCTGTAACTTTATGAATGGTTAGATGAAGATGGTTTAATATTTGAAAATCAATCTATGTATTTTACCACATTACCATAATAAAGGAGAAAAACCATCTCAGTTGATAATCTCAACATAATCATCTAAGTAGATAAAAAACAAGGATATGTTCCTTCATAACACTACATATATGGTGCTGTTATATGTAATATATAATATTAATATGATTTTAATATAAAACTATTATCCAATAAATGTTTTTTGATTTTCCAGTTGTTCCAATAATGACATAGCTGTTTATGTTTTTAATCAGAGTTCCAATCCGGGAACAAAGAGCACTTGATTGTCATGTTTTATTAGACCGGTCACAGTGATTATATAACACACACATTAAAAAGTGTAAGAGTGAAAAGCTTAATCATCGTAAGGTGAATATGTCTGTATCCCTGCGGATGGAAGGAGCTAGACGCAGGTCCCACCTCCCGCGGGCTCTCGCCGCCCTTTCTCAGATATAGCTCCCTCCCTCCCCAGAGTGGCCATTATCATCCTGCTATTTATGATGCTCTCCTTTCCAGTTTAGCTTTACCCATTTTTCAGTATGGTTTTCATAATATTTTAATAGGATAATTTTGGTTATTAACATCTAGTTGTCATAGTATTTGAATACTAGCATCTTGACATGATTCGGCTTGATAATCACCACCGTTCTCTCACATCTGTGTTCTCAGTGTGCATGTCGGGAGTCTCGGCCTATGTCTAAGCACCAGTGGTGATGGTAGCTTCTGGTCATTTGATGATGGTATTTGCCAGGTTTTTTTGCTTTGTGAAGTTACTCTTTTCCGTTTGTAATAGGTACTCTGTCACTGAGTACACACTCCGTTTCTCCTGAGACTTTGATCCTGGTTTTGGCAGACGTGGATGATACTGGATGCAAAGCATTTTTTTTTTTTT